GCTTCATTTTTTTCCCTGTGCCAAGCCGTCCAACCCCTCTCAGGAGCATTTCAGGATTTCAGAATTGAACAGGGTGGCTGCGACGGTGCAACCAGATTCCGGGACGTCGCGCCGCTCGTGAAACTCGTTCTTTTTTCTTACGCGGTGAACAATGATGGTGTAACGACGCTGCAATGCGCTCTTGGATTATACTGAACCCTCCTGCACCATAGCTGCATACGAGTGCGCGCGTCAACGTGCATACGCGTATCTACGTGACTCTGTAAAAATGCGGGTCCTGGAGACTTGAATGCCACGTTGCCCGTGATAGTCTCGTTAGTTTTTTCGCGACACCGACTGAATTATATTAAGTAAAGAACTTTTTTCATTTTTCTTTTTTTGCAAAAAGAGCGGAGACAGATAAGGGGTGACAAACTGTCTCCTGTGATATCTATATCTATACTAATATTATAAAGAGGTAAAATTTGTTTGTATGTAAGCAGTAATCTCTGAAACTACGGAACCGATTCTAACAATTTTTTCAGTAATAGAAAGCTACGCTGTCCCTTAGTAACTTAGGCTATATTTTATTTTGATAAAAATAAGGTTTCAGTCCCGGATGACCGCGAAGAGTTAACTGTAACTTGAATAAAAATAGGGATAGGAAAAAATTGTATGTACAATAGTTGCTTGGCTTTTCATGAGAAATAAAATAATGTAAGCTGAGTCCCTGCGAATTTACAGGTAGCGCCACTAAAGTTAGGGAAGTAATTCTTTTCCCATAAATTTGTAATCGAATGAAGAGAGGCCAACTCTGTTCACAGAGACATCTTGCTTTCTATCGAAAATACACGTGTTCACTCGTTCGTTGAACGATTATCCATGTCGGTCCTTACAGTTACCTCTCCCGCAGAACACACAAAGCTCTTTCCTCGAACAGCCTTTCTACACCGTGTCTAACATTCTTCGCGGCATCATGCATCGATGTACATTGGACGGGTGCACCGGTACACACGCGCATGCATGTACTTTCCCAGGAAACTGGGAACCATCGAGGATCCCGTCGTGCTCCAGCTCCTCCTTCGCCGTCTTTTACTCTTTCACCGAAGCACGACCCCAGCCCTCCCGATCCCTCGTGTCTTTTTCCCTTTTTTCCGCATATTAAGTCAGGCGCAATCATTTGCATTTCTCTGTGTTTCCAACGATCACGTCCCGACGACCTCAACTACAACAGACCAGAGACGGCCTCTTTCTTCCACACTCCTTTTGCCCGGTTTTTCCCTTTATTTCCTCATTATGTTTCGTTTTCCTTGCATTTCTTGTACTCGTTCCATCTTTCAACCCTCCATCGCCGCGATTCTTTTTCTCTCTCCTTTTATGAAAGCTCCTTGCTCTGTATTTATACGTCGCTTCGCTAAATTACTAAATTTGTGCGCATCCCCTTTCAGGCACTTGTCTTCATATTTCTCGTCCCTCTTTGGTTTACGTTCCCGTTTATCCCCGTCGCTAGATTCTTTTCCTCCTTCGCCTATCTTCGACTCCATTTTTCATTTCTCGCTACCTGTTCGCCGCTAGCATCACTTCTCGCTGTTTCCCTTTATTCTTTCTTCAAACTCGACGAAAGACGTTTCCATATCCACTACGTGGCTTCCGGAAGGCTCTTCCAGCTGCTCGATCGAGACATAGTTTCCATTCTTAGGTGCGTTCTCGGGAATTTCTCTGTACCATTAGCATAAAGGAACGCGCGCGACAGTCACGCGCTTCCCTCGCATCGGAATTAAAGGACTTTGGCTGGTTTAGGACCGCAGTTGGCTGGAAAAGGAGCCTAATTGAAAGATGAAACGCGAAGTAAGACCAAATGCAATTACAGATAGCGACAAAACGTTGGCGATAACTCGACTCACGCTACTGGTCCCTAATACAGGCTTAATTTGGAGCCCGAGGTGGGCGCCATTTTATTCGAATAATAAAGAACGATTAAGTACTGTCTGTACGTGCGAATTTAGGTGAAATTTTATTTAGTTAATGTGAAACATAATTTGATTGTAATTTGTATAGAATGAGTGGTATGTTTTTGTTTTTTGTAGTTTAACCCTCTATGGGTTCTATTTTTTGTTCTGGAGACAATACAGTTGTGGCTTCATGTTGAAATTTATGTGTGTGAGTAAAATTTCTAATTATATACATGTACATAAATTTTGTGGAATTTATTTAACAGCGCCCTGTTGTTAAAGGGTTACAATAATATTTAACACATTATGTAATTAAGACGTATACGTCATCTTATGAACAAACTAAAATTATTTGCTAATATGTAGATATATTAGTAAGTGACCTGGTAGTTATATGATCCCATAGACGGTTAATTTGAACTTTTAGTAACGTTTAGATACAACGGGAACTACACTGATTATCTGAGCAGTTGGAAACCAGCCCTTGCAAGTTTAAGAATCGTGATAGACCTAAACAATCTCGCGATACGCCTGTTTTATGGTAATAAAGTAGATTTCTTTATTTCGAACGCTAAACGAGTTCCTGGGACGGAACAATGGAAGATCCTTCAACTGACAAAGTCTCAGGTTGCTCGAGTGCTGTGAAATCCTCTCACACGTGTGTGTTACTGATCTAACGAAAAACCGTCAAGCGGTTAAATTAGAAACACGTGGAACTATTCAAAGAATTCTTTATCTTTTTATACTAACTCACCTCAATCATAGCATTGTTCTAATTAACCCTTTTATCCTTAAATAACATTAATCGTGAAGGTAATGCTCGAACTAGTAGAAACACTCTTTCAATAAAAAGTAATTCAATTGTCCCTCCAGTTGGCACTTTTAGTAACCTTCAAGTTGTCACAACAGTACTTAATAGTTACTATTATCAGTGGAATAACGTTATTAGTTTACACTTAATTATATGTACCGTATATCAAAAGCAATCTTGAAATGCAGAGAAATATACCATAAAGAAAGAATGTACGAATAATTTTATCAAGCTAATTATTGAAGTAGCCAGACCGTCTGAATGAGTTTAATGAACTCTGGATGAAGTCCATTTTCTCACGTAGAGCATTGCCTACTATGCGCATTTCTGTGATAGGATCAGGGTTTAAAAGATCCATTTTAATATGGCGAATCCTAAACAGAGTCATACGAAGCAAGGCTTCGTAACTGACATTGAAAGTAACCAATCAACGAATAACAGAGACTTTAGTTCGACTATTATCAATTCTGAAACGGTAGATGCTATCAGTGATCAGTCTCCCACCAAGGTGTAGGTGAAACTAGATCACATGATCTGTGATGTATACAGTAGGGCTTCGATTATCCAGGACCATTGGGACCGAAACAGTCCGGGTAAATCGAGACCTGGGGAACAAAAATTGAAAACCTAATTTATACACAATAGTCATTTTGACAAGAAATATATGTAAGAAATGCGTTTATGTGTATGTATATTTATACAACGTCACTTTTTTATAATAACAAAACTTCTGTCGACGTGTCATCACATTGTTCCATATATTGAAAAGTTCTGTTCAGGATGGAAGCACATTCTTCATGGCAATTTTTTTCGCTCGCGATTTCATCTTCGGAATCATGGATAGCATCAATTATGTCCGCGTCATTTATTTGTTCGTTTTTTTTTTCACATAACCATTCTTCCCTATTATGTTCATTTATTTGTTCCATCCTTAACCTACGGTACTTTTCTATCGTTCTTAAAATGTTTACAGAAGTAACTTTTCACTTCCAGTATCGTCACGTTATATCACCAAATGTTGACTAAGATTTGTGACTCGTCTGTATCACGTGTTCCTTCTCTATCTTTCGAACCCGTCGCGAAGTCAAACAAATAAAATGATGTATGTATGTCAAGACAATAGAGTATATCTATATTTAGCAACGCTATTCCAACTGCTTCAGAAAGTGACGCACTAATCGTATCACGAATAATATTTACGCCGGATAATAGAGGCCCCGGTTAATCGAGGTCCCACTGTATTTAGAAATCCAATTAAAATGTAGTAAAATTACAAAATTCGTGCTGAACGGCTTCGATTAACGGTACGTGGCCTGGCGTGACGATCAGAGCTCGCTAGCATATGCTAAGAGAGTAGTATAGCGTTCCCAATGTACTTGGATTCGCAAAAGTAACCGTGTGAAACGTCTGATAAGGCCTAAGGACGTGGAAGACTCGGTGCATGTTTCAGTGATGTTCTGGGGGGAAACAGAGCGATGTGCAAAGTTGCTCCTCGAATTATCATAGAATTGCACGGAGCTGAGACAACCTGTGAGACATATAGGTGTTCATGGAATTGAGCAGTGTTATCTATCTCTGGCATACTTATCATAGACGAGATAGGGAGATACATAGATAGGTAGGCACATAGATAGATGAGTAATTTATTATATGCTCTGGGTCGATGTCCCAGCATATAAGAGCATTAAGTTACAATATTGAGAGTGCCACCAAACTGGAGCACAGGCTCTGCTGGAGCGATGGTGCACTGTTGCAGGTACAAAAATCATGAAGATCGATGCAGATGAGATTGATGGTGATCTTGGTAGTGATAGAATAAAAATGAACATAGTAATGTGAAGTGAAATGAGAGCGAAAAGTATCGAGAGCTAGGACTCGCGTAGGTAATTTAAAAAAGTAGTGGAAAATCTATGTAACAATTTGAAGAACCATTGCGATAACCTGAAGAGCAGAACTAATAATAACCGAAAGAATATTGTGTTACAATACACAATTTTTTATCAAACTTTTGATCAAGACTTGATTTTGTTTACTTTTTATTAGTTATTCGATATATTTAACTGGATAAAAATTTTGTCTATATTTGACCATTGTAGCAATATTTAACAGAGCCACAGAAGTCTAATATAGCAATGCTAAATTCTTAGTGCATTCTTCTCTACCAGGTACCATTGTAATTGCTAATGATTAAAGAACTTGGATCACTTTCTAGAAGACTAATATCCTTACTCATAATTTCTATTGGTTTCTGTTCACAGCTGGGTTTCTTCACATATTACACGGTAGCAATGGGCGAAGTGAATCCTTCGGGTCCGGTACCGATCGATAGTGTCTTCATTTATAGACCAGACAAACGTCTCGAACTCTGGAGATTTGCATTCTACATGTTCCTTCACGCGGGGTAAGTACTAACAACATTACAAAGTCAAACCAAACGATTCGCTAAGACTTCTACTGTCTTAAAGGGGAAACCATTATACTGAGGCTAAATATTAAGTGTTTTTTAAGATTTTTTTTATACAAAACAATTTATTTAATTTCGTTTTTAATTTTGATAATCACCTTTGAATATCAGGTGTGTTTTTTAGTACATTTGGAAATTTGTTTCTCCCGAATTTGCAAAAAGGTACTTCTTCGAATATTTATCTATATTTTGTAATATTTAGGTACTATTCGAAGAGGCGTGTATTAAACTACAAATCTAACAAATTTTATTAATCACTTTTAATTTGCGTTTCAATTTGTGGGTGTTTTTAATTAGAATTTGTGAGTTACTACACAATTCTTTCAACGGTCTTTTCTTGGGGAATGATTTTTGACAAGTTGCAATTACGGGAAACAAAATTTCAAGACAAAATAACTTGTATCGTGAAATGTGATCCGAGTTTTATTTTTAACCATTTCATCGGGACGTCACTTTTTCGTTTTATACGCGTATATTTGTTTCGCTCGACTACGAAATGAAATTTCACGATGATTATTGGAAAATGTGAACATGGAAATTCACGGACACATTTGTAAAAAATAACCGATGATATTCACGTTTCCAAGAATTGTTTAAAATATCGATCGATTACCCTTCTCTGGCGTATGAAGTCAATCATTGGAGCATTTGTTTATTCAATGATACAATGTTAGGTTGTAGGAAATTTCATGTAAAAACACTTTTAATGGGAGACTTAAAATAGATGCTTCTGTCACGTTTAAAAAAAAATACAAAATAAGCATAATTTTGTTAATATCTCGTTAATTGTTAAGTTGTGGTCTAGTGAAGAGTAATATCTTTTACTTTGAATTTAATTAAAGGAATATAATAATAATAGAAAAGAATTAGTACGAATATGTCCCTCTAGTGTTATGAATCACTATGTCGCGAAAGTTTTGCAGTGTTTATTGCATTGAAATTTGTTATTTAAATAACACAGAATACCACAGTTTGTGATTTTATCTTATTTTCGCTCAAATGTAGTGCACAAATGAAGTTTCGTCTGCGAAACTATAGCCTCGACCTAAAAGAAAATTTATTTCAAAAGGTTAGTATTCCATGATGAAAACAATAAAACAGGAAACTCAATACGGTTGATAGTTTCGGAGATAAAAATACGTTTGTGCCGCTTGGTTTTATGAGGATAGACAAAAACCGCAAACTTTGACGTCTATTTTTGGAACAGGTGTCGTTACTACATATTACAACTTTTTAGAATCGTTTAATTCATTCAAAACGGTGTTTACAAATTATGTTTCAGTGGAATTAGGTATTATCGCTTCTTAAGATATTTCAAAAACGTTACTTCAAAATGGCAAGAAGATAGTTACCGAAAGATTCCACATGATGGAGAACTATAATATATCATTTTTACATAAAAACGTTACATTAAAACACATTATTGCTTAAACATACATTGTATATCTAAAGTTCACAAAAGATTTAATAAATCTTGTTTATCCCTATGCCTATCTTGTATATTATGTTTAAATTTAATACGATCCCAAAGGGTTAATTAATTTTATGAAAATTGACGTCTTCCGTTTTTTAAATAAATTTGAGATCAATGTAATAATGTTCTAGCTAAACGTCTTTTAAATACGATCCCAAAGGGTTAATTCATTTTATGAAAATTGACGTCTTCCGTTTTTTAAACAAATTTGAGATCAACGTAATAATGTCCTAATTAAATGTCTTCTAATTTTACATGAACTATAAGAACAGTGATCCATTTAGCAAAAAATATCCCCGGTTGCGATTCTAACAGCAGTATTTTTCTGTAAAAGAGGTCGAAAATTCATATCGAGCGTATGCATGAAAGTTGAGAATGAGATCGCTGGAATCATCCATCGAGGAAAAGAGGTATATTTCTCACATTAATAACCGCCATATCGCAGCGCCCTTTCGGCAACAAGAATAGTACTTTCGGGGGAGCTAGATAGTGCTTCAGGGTAAGAGAAGGAACAAAGAGAAAGAAGAAAGGGAGAACGCTGGGTGGAGGAGGGCACACAGTCTATGGGAAAACGTCGGGTCACTCTTATCGCCGTTTCCATACGCACGTAGGGAAAATGGTCGCCTTATCTGGCGTTTCCATGAATAATTTAGAGAGCCTCGCTGCTGAAAACTTCTCTGCAGGCCTGGCTCTATCGCTCCAGCCTTTCTTCCCGTGTTACTCTTCGCGCTCTCGTGCCATCGTTGAGAGGAATAAGTAGTGGTCGTTGCAACACGGAAAGAAAATCGAAAATAACCTCTGGAAAGTCGTGTGAGTCTTTTCAAATGTTGAGTTAGAATGTTATTCTAGTCGGAGGATTAATTACTCATGTGTGGATTTATTTAGAAACGCTTGAGAAACACCAGCAAACGTCAATTACAATTTTTGACGCATTTAACAAGGAGCGAATTAAAAATAGGGAGTCGAATTTAACACCAATAAATTACAGTGATGGCTTTTCAACTGTCGCAGGAGATACAATTAATTTTTTTAGTAGGATTTTATTGACCATAAAATTATTTTAAGCGAACGAGAAGGCTCTTGATCATTGTATTTCCAATTTCTTTTTTAAATTACTCAACTATTAACCCTTTGACTGCGAAGTGGATATATATATACGCCCTCGAGAAATGAGCTCAAAAAGATGTTTGTATCTGTTAAACCGATTTTTAAAAAATATTAGTTTATAGAGAATGATGAGACGAAACTTTTTAAGCTGATATTTTTTAAAAATTCACATCTCTACACCTCTTAGAATTTCTAGCAAAAATCGTCCCGTGGTCAAAGAGTTAGCAATGCGTTTTTCACAATTTTTGATGACACTTATTGCAAAAAAGAACTAATTATATTAATATGATTCTTTAATTGCCCCAACGGGTAACCTGTTTACAATAGCAACTCTTTGTTATTTATTACTCTACCTGTCTCTGTCTACCAGTACACTTTTACATCATTTTTATGGCAATGATAAATGTTTATCGTTTACATTTTTAATAGTTACTTATGTATGTTACATCCACATTAATAAAAGCACAGAGGTAGACTTGGCTTGGCTTAGTTTATCGTAAGGTTTAACCGAACACATTTCGATTTTTACACTGACACAGAGATAGATAGGGTACCCCGGTTTTTTTCCTTTTTCTAATATTGGGACATTTCCACTTACACGCGGGCCTATATCTACCCGGATATGTCTATAACTCTATGATCCGTAGACACTGGACACTGGAAACAAAAATCATGCTAACGCGGAAACGTACGAGGCGTCCTGATATATACTATAATTTTCTCTTTCGCGTGCTTTATTATTTACCTGGGACGAATAGGTGCATATGCCGGCTCGATACTAAACATACGGCGTCGAGTACGCCTCCTTTCGCAGCATAGTCCGTACTACAAATTCGTAATATAACCAAATAAATTCCCAGGACCCTTCGACGTTTCCACTATCCGCTGGAGGGCAAGGGAGATAAAACAAGAACCGGGGAGGAGTAAGGGAAAGAAGGAAAAAAAAGTTGGGCGAGACGGTTCTTTAGAAAAATAGCCAGCCACGGGGAGCAATGAGGGCGAGGGGGAGGGGCGGGGGTGCAGGGGGAAAGGATACCGGTAGGTAGAAGAAAATGTATTTTCCAGCATGGAACCTGGCGCGTGCCAGGACATTTACGTAATTCGGTTCGAGTCGTAGGACGATGGCTGAATTCGATTCGCGTCGAGTAGAGAGAGATTGCAACGTGATTTGCCAGGGTGGGAAGGACGAGAGAGGGACCGGGGAGGGTGGAAAGCGAAATTAGCGTCAAGGATTAACGCGGAGTTGCATCGAAGTGCATTCACAGCGTAGGCCGACCAATCGAGAAAAGTGGTCAGCGAAATGTGCAATTTGTCACGCGTGACATTTTTCACGGGACGCGGTCTGAATTTCAATTATACCGAACTTTCGGGATTTTTTACAGGAACGATACCATCGATGCCTCTTAACACAATAAAAGGTTTTCCGAGAGTAGCTTTGGGATTATGTTTTTTGTTTCGGTTTTTTATTAATTGAACACAAATGGTAGGGAGTATATTTATTTTCTTATTGTGAATGAAAGTGGACGTGATTGAAATTAAACGTTGAAGGAGGTGCCGTTTAAATGTTCGTAGTGATTACACCAGCAGGCGCATTTTGTTATTGACAAATCAAGTGTTAGTGGCTCTTTGGAAAAACTGTTAACACATTCCGTGCCGGACCGATTTTTGAAGACTTTTCGTTCAGGCCACACTTTAACGATTAAATTAACTCGTCTTTAACGTACACCTTACAATTTGTCAATAGTACAAAGCCATCATTAGCAAGAAACTTTTAATATGTATTAGATAACAAAACAATAAATTTAATTTTTAACGAATTATTTTAACAAACACATGGTCGAACGACCATGCACGAGAATTTCAAGCGGCCTAAATGGAAAGTTCAGCGTATACGCCCCACGCAACACGGGAACGGGTTGATAGAAGGAATTGTTGAAACAGTTTATTTGTCGACACTAAATGAAATTAATTATTATAGGATTGAAGTGTCGTAGTATCGAAACAGTTTCGTAATGAAATTGGTTTGGGGTTGAAGCGCTTTTAGATTGAAGCATTTCAGTAATCAAATTGGTTTAGGACTTAAGTAATTAATAATTTGAAAAATTCAGGTTTGAAGTATGTTGGGATTTAAACGTTTCACATTTGACAAAGTTAAGTTAGATCAGTCCAAAATACCATAGTTTGAATGCCTAACAACTGACTTTCTTTCGTCTGTCTCTTTTCCTTATTCCTTTTTCTTTCTTTTCTACCAACGCGTTCACATAAACATATTCCCTATAGTTGATGTTCTTGCTTTTCCACTCGTATGTATATAATTTACATGGGTTGTTGGGTTACATGTAGTTATGAGTATTTA